TATATAAGGGGGGACTCAAATAGTTTCGGAGATACAGGCTGAGAAAGGATACAAATAATAAATATATTTCCTAACTCGTACTTCCGCCGTTGTACTGTTCCACATGGGTTTGCAACTTTCCACGTGAAGCGAGGTGTGGAGTGGATCTCGCTTCACGTGGAAAGTTGCAAACCCATGTGGAACAGTACAACGGCAGAAGTACATGCGTGGAGACAGTACGTTCCGCATGACAGATTTTCTAACCCTAAAAGTTGTCAACTTTAACAATTAATATCTCGCTTCGCAGGGCAGTGCGACGATTTTGTCTGAGGAAAAAGTTGTTCCTCGTTGAAAAACGCGTCGAATGAGACCAATTTGATTGATTTTGGAGGTGGAGCAGCTATACTGAAGAATTACCATATATTTATTATTTGTATCCTTTCTCAGCCTGTATCTCCGAAACTATTTGAGTCCGGCCATTATATATATATATGAAATGACTCGGGAAGACATCCCCAACAACATATTTAAAAATAAAACAAATCGGAGAGGAAGTCGCTTTTATGCATAATTACCTAAATATTCACTTGTACTACCCTCTACCAATGACTCGAAAAGCTGATTTATAACTGAAATAAAGTAAATTAGGTAAATATTTTCTGAAATACAGGCCGAACGTTTATTGTACCTGTCGAAGATCGATCAGCAGCTACGTTGCTTAATATTATACAGCAATGGATCACACCTGGTTCAATAATAATGTCTGACTGTTAGAATGCATATAATTGTTTGCAAAATGAAGATTATCAACACATGAGCGTGAATCAGAAATACAATTTTGTAGACCCTGACACAGGCGCACATACACAACATATAAAACGCATATGGCGTGAAGTACGAGATAACATTCGACTATATGGTCGAAAGAAACATCATTTAATTAGTTACTTTCCTGAATTTTTGTTCAAACACAAATATTGCTTTTTGGAGCGCATCGATGCTTTTTTTCAGTTATGGCTGAATTGTATCCACAATCAATAAATGAATAAAATAGGCATTTAAATAATTAAATAGTCTAGATATTTACCTAAACTTCTTTTGTTAATAACCTTTTAATGAACAACTTCCACGATTGAAACCTTCTGAAAGTCACTCAGAACATTGACCTTGGCAACATATGTCAGGGTCAAGGTCATCGGCGAGGTGTCCCCTAATGTAAATAAATACCATTTGTCGATCAATACAGGATCGATTATGTCGATAAGTCGATATATCAATGATGTAACACGCTTTACATTCGACAATGTTGATTCTTTTTACCGATATTTTGACACATTAATATTATTAGGTAAACTTAGTTTCCGCGGTGTTTTTTGTTTAACAGCTCATTTATTTCGATATCAAAAGCACAAAAACATCAATTAAAGTATTTTCCCTCGCTAGCTATACATTTTTCCCATCTTTTTGGCAATGAGTAGATTCCGCAACGATAGAACGATTGGTCTTTTGATGCAATCCATTCATCGATCCATTTTCGCACATTCTTGTAATTTTTGAAGCGAGTATCTACCAAGCCGTGCTACATCGATCGGAACAAGTGATAATCTGAAGAAGCTAAGTCTGGTAAATACGCTGGGTGTGATAGAACTTCCCACTCGAGTTGCATTAGTGTTTCCTTGATGACTTTTGCAACGTGTGGTCGAGCGTTGTCGAGCAAAAGAATAACTTCCTTTCCTTTTGAATCTTTCCCATTTCATGTAGACGTTTGGATTTTTGGATTAATGTAAATAAATACCAAAAGTTTGAAGACACCAAAATGCAAGCATTATTGGATGAAAACTCAGCTTAAACGCTCCAAGAATTGTCTGCAGCGTTAAATGTTATTGCGATGGCTGTTTCCAAGTGTCTACATGCAATGGAAAAGATTTAAAAGGAAAGGAAGTTATTCTTTTGCATGACAACGCTCGAACACATGTTGCAAAAGCCGTCAAGGATACACACTTCAAAAATTACGAGGATGTGCGAAATTAAATCGATGAATGGATTGCATCAAAAGACCAATCGTTCTATCGTTGCGGAATCTACTCATTGCCAGAAAGATGGGAAAAATGTTTAGCTAGCGAGGGCAAATACTTTGATTGATATATGTTTTGCTTTTGATATCGAAATAAATAAGTTTGTTCAACAAAAAACACCGCAGAAACTAAGTTTATCACCTAATAGTATTAATGTGTGAAAATATCGGTAAAAAGAATCAACATTGTCGAATGTAAAGCGTGTTACATAATTGATATATCGACTTATCGACATAATCGATCCTGTATTGATAGACAAATTCCTTTAAAATAATTCATCTTTTTTTTCTACATTCTTTAGATATTTAACATTTTTAATTAAATTTATATTGAGGTGTATTTTCGAGAAGTACATACCCCAGACTTTTTCAAAACTCAGTATTTCTACGTATTTTGACGCGCTGATTACGAATATCATAGTGCAAATTGGCGACTACTTGATTTTCATGTTGAAAACCATGAAAACACTCATAAAAATAATTGTTTTGCTTCCTCATAGAGGAAGCTGTTTTCGTGAAAAAATTTTTTTTCCAGTTTTCTTTGAAAACATGTTTAGAATGTTCTAAAACGTTCAAAAATCACATTCAGAAAAAATGTCGGTATGTATGTATGTATGTATGTGTGTATGTGTGTATGTGTGTATGTGTGTATGTATGTATGTCTGTATGTATCCTTATAAGGTAACTCTAAATAACTTTTTAAATATGTAAGATGGAAAAAAATGTTAAACATGAAAGTTGTACGGTTTTAAGTAATGCATTACATAGTAATATAAATATGACCTTGAACAGCTTCCTCAAGGTCACGTAAAGATCACCTTGAAATTTTTAAATGGAAACCCGTTTTTTTAATGCATATTCTTATAGCTTACCTCAAGAGCTTTCCAAAACACTATAATAAAGTATATTTTCGTTAGGTATCTACTTTCGGAGTTATGTGCTTTTGAATTGTTTTTGAGAAATGTCTGTGGTTGCTGTAACTATCGTAAATTAACTTTAATAATGATTTCCAAAAATTTCAAATGTCTATAACTCAAGAACTAATTAATCATATTTTAATGAATCATATATGAAATTTTGATAGAAAAAACTGAAGAACAATATAATATATAATTAGAAAAAAAGTAAAGTAAAGTAAAGTGTGCAAATTAGAAATTTGCACATGGAAGCTTTAAGAGCGAAATAAGAATATGCAAATTTCTAATTTGAATACTTTCAAGAAACATCGTAGTAAAGTTAGATTTCTCTCTTAAAGCTTCCTCTATGAAGAAGCCATAACAATGGAAGCAATGTGCAAATTTCTAATTTGCCTACTTTAATGATGAGGAAGAAATGTGCAAATTTCCAATTTGCACGCTTCAATGATGAGGAAGCAATATGCAAATTTCTAATTTGCACACTTTCAAGAAACATCGAAAAAAATTAGATTTCGCTCATAAAGCTTCCTCCATGAGGAAGCCATGTGCAAATTTCTAATTTGCACACTTTTTACGTTTATCTCGGTATGTATGTAAAATTGTGATAAATGTTTTAGACAAAAGTTTTAGACCTCATAGAGATAAACGTTTTAGGTTCTATACATTTTCGTCAAATGAATAACAGTTTTCGAGGAAATTGAGTATAAAGACAGTAACAGTGTTTGTTTCACGGAGTGAAGTTTGATGCTTTGGATTTATACTCATTTTAATTTCGCGCGTTTTTGGGAAGCATAAGTGGACGCGACCTTCGCCTTTTGGTCGTGGGTCCGCGCTGCCGTCGTGGGCCCGTAGCGGGGAGGGGGGAGTCCGAGCCGCCGAATTTCTAATGAAAAGGGACGACGAGCGTGACGTGACGCTCAGTACGATATCCTTCGGTGAACAGTGAAGTGCTCGGGTACCCGATTGATTCGAGATCTATTAACTTCCATATTCTAACCGTGACTCGCTTCAGCCCCTTGAGAATAGCGATCGATCCGATTGTATTAACAACAGTCATATTTGGCGCGAGACACTACTGTGTCTCGTCAGCCGTCACAACCGAGCCTGGACTCGGTACGAGAATCATCTCGTA